TAGTATCAATAATATAAATACTGTTCTTTTTATGCTGTTTCTACGCTCTTGTGTTTATCTCTTAGAGATTCTCTATTAATTTTATCATCATCATCATAATCATTATAATCATCATCATCACTATCATTATCATCATCAGCCTGACTACGTCCACTGTAGGACATAGGCCTCTCCCATGTTCCGCCAGTTAACCCGGTCCTCTGCTTGCTGCTGCCAATTTATAACCGCAAACTTCTTAATCTCATCTGCCCACCTAACCTTCTGTCTACTCTGACCCGCTTGCCTTCTCTGGGAATCCAGTTAGTTACACTTAACGACCAGCGGTTATCTTGTCTACACGCTACATGCCTGGCCCATGTCCGTTTCCTCTTCTTGATTTCAATTATGATATCTTTAACCCCGGTTTGTTCCCGGATCCACTCTGCTGTCTTTTTGTCTGTTAAGGTTACACCTACCATTTTTCTTTTAATTGCTCGCTGCGTCGTCCTCAATTCAAGCTGAACCCTCCTTGCAAGTCTCCAGGTTTCTGCTCTGTAGCTAAGTACCGGCAAGGTACAGCTGTTATATACCTTCCTCTTGAGGGATAGTGGCAATCTACCTGTCATAATTTGAGAGTGCTAGCCAAATGTGCTCCACAACATTCTTATTCTTCTAGTTACTTCAATCTTTGGTTCGGCTCCGCGGTTATTACCTGCTCTAAGTAGATATAATCTTTTAGAACTTGGAGTGCACTATTACCTATCTCGAAGCGCTGCTTTATTGCGAGGTTGTTGTACATTACTTTCGTTTTCTGCAGATTAATTTTAAGACCTATCTTTCTGTTCTCCTTGTCTGTCTCAGTTCTCATGAGTTGCTGTTCGCCCCCTGAGTTAATCAGAAATGCAATGTCATCTGCGAAGCGCAGGTTACTAAGGTACTCTCCATTAACTCTTATCTCTAACTGCTCCAATTCTAGGCTTCTAAAAACCTCCTGTAAGCACGCGGTAAATAGCATTGGGGAGATTGTGTCCCCCTGCCTTAGACAATTCTTGATTGGTATTCTGTTGCTTTCTTTATGAAGCACTATGGTAGCAGTTGATCCCCTGTAGATTTGATCCAGGATGTTTATATATACTTCATCGACGCCCTGATTACGCAGTATCTGCATGGTGGCTGATATTTCTGCTGATTAAAACTCCTTCTCGTAATCTATGAAGGCTATGTATAGTGGTTGGTTATATTCTGAGCATTTCTCTATTACCTGATTGATAGTATGAATGTGGTCGATTGTTGAGTAGCCTGTTCCGAATCCTGCTTGTTATTTTGGTTGATTAAATTCTAATGTTTTCTTAACTCTGTTTTTTTAGCAATTACCTTTGCAAGTAGCTTGTATACTACAGAGAGCAATCTGATCGGCCTGTAATTCTTCAAGTCCTTGTCATCTCCTTTCTTATGTATTAAGAGGATGTTAGCATTCTTCCAAGACTCTGGTATTCTTCCCGTCAGGAGTCACCTCGTAAACAGGGTGGCTAGTTTTTGTAACACAATCTGTCCTCCATCTTTCAGCAGATCTGATGTTACCTGCTCCTCACCAGCAGCTTTGCCTCTTTGCATGCTCTCCAAGGCTTTGCTGACTTATTCTATCATTGCTGTTGGGGTGTCATCTGGGTTATGACTAGTTCTTTTAGTATTAAGGTGGTGGTTGTCCCGGCTACTGTAGAGATCTCTGTAAAACTCCTCCGCTATTTTACCTATCCTATCCATAGTGGTAGTTATTTTGTCTTCTTTATCCTTTAGTGAGGGAGTGCGTTACCGGCGGTGGGTTCCGGTGAGGCCACACCCCAGGCCTTTTAATACAGTTCCATCACCACGCGGGTTTCTTTTTATCAGGTTGGGAACTACGCGATACCGGGATTTGAGCCACGGACCTTTTGCATGCGAGACGAATGCTCTAATCACTATGCTATCGCCGCACCTCTATTTATTTATTTTGAGTTTCATCATGGCCAATGCTCTCTTAAAGCTGGTGCGGGCCGTATGTATGTATCCACTTTGGTGTGTACGGCTCGGTGCCCTGGGTGAATTACCGAGCGACCGAACCACCTGTGCTTGAACTCAGACCATGTGGTGATGCGAAGAAGTGGATTTATTTTAATTTTCCTGTTTTCTTGGGGCGTTTCGTCAGGCGGCCATTTAATCTCCTCTCGGGACAATGCACGGACAATCCGCTCACTTCGGGCAGTTCCGCCTTCAACTTTTTTTTCGTTTTTTTTCTGACTGACAAACATTTCAGAAAAGCCATAATCCCTGCCACTTCTCGTGCTGGTTCGTTCTCTGAGTTTATTTCTTTCTTTTTCTTTCTGGGCCTCAAACTGGGTTGGGCTGTCCTCCGCTTCGGGACGTGTCATTTCACTTACATATTTCGATGAAGGCTGGACCACCAAATAAAACTTATAGGCAAAAAATAATTGTTTTCTTTCCTATGTTTTTAGGCATTATAATATAGGGTGTTACCACAATCGGCCTTTCCATACTTCAGCCTCTTAATTTTCGGCTTTTTATAGGTACGCAAAACAGCCAAATTAAAAATGACGAATTATTGGAATGCTGAAACTTAAAACACAGAAAATATAAAAAGCCGAATTGAGGAAAAACTGAAATTTGAAATGCCGAAAAAGCAAAATGGCGAAACAATGAAATGCCGAAACGACAAAATGCCTCCATAACCTAGCTATAGTCGAACATAAAGTATTTTGCTAGAATAAAGGTTCCGCCGGCTTTGTACAATGTTTATACGCTTTGCACCTTTTTTTCAACAGGCATGTCTCTTTGCATGTGATTGAAACTTTCAAAAAAGAAAAAAACTGCATAACTGCGTATGTCAAGGAAAATATCACCGATTCCTTGCATAGATGACTAGCACAGACATCACAGAAATTGCATTGTTGAGCACCATATAATACACACAAGGTTTGTCACGCCACGTGTTAATGCTATCATTATATCTCAATATTTTTGTTATTGAAGTAACTGATTGAAGAGAGTGTTTGGACGAGCTGGCATTACGTCATCAAGAAAATTGAGACAGCGCGAGAGTAAACACGAAGAACAGCGCCTGCCTATGTCAGCTCTTTTTTGGTGCATTCACGTTTATTTCAGTGTTGTCAAAACTTTCTCGTTATTGACAAAAAGAGGCCAACGAAATTCTCGCCGCGTCGTTATCACATTGACGCAGTTTGAACGCGCTGTGTTTATGCTGTCTTTACGTGAAAGTTGCCATGCTGGTGAACGAGTATGTGAGGAAGCTATGGCCATGGCGTCACGTGCATGCAATCTATATTGTATTTCATACATGTTGCAATAAAATTTGAAACTCTGATATCGTACTGGTTGCCGATAGGGAAGCTGCGAAATAATTTTCACGTTACCCTTAGCTTGATAATTCTTTTTTACTTGGCTAGTTGATACATGCTTACCGAAATGCAAAAAAAAAAAAGATGCGTACCATCAAGGAAGAACAAATTAGGACAGGACAGCAAGGGCGTAACTCAGAAATAACTTCATTCTCAGAACATCAGCTGCATATATAAGCCTAGCAACCATGCGCCTGCTCATCCCTTCACATGCTCCTCAGGAAACGTGATCAGATTGACAAAAAGTAAATATTGAC